CTTCGTATGAAAGTACTATAACCTTGCCCTTTTTCCGCGTTAGCTCTCCTGCTGGTAGGACGCTTTTCATCCATGCTGCTGCCGCTTACTCGCTTAAGATGACGTCGTACTTCAAAATGGGAGTTATTCTATTCAAATATTATTAAGAAATATCTTGTCTGAAAAATGATTATGTGATATGCATGGAAAAAATAAAGATTGTGATTTTTTAAGATATGTTGTGCTAAATTGCGTCATCATGCTTTCCACTCTGCCATTTTCAAGCCACTACGGTCTTCTCGGTCATCTACGCAGTATCGTAAGCTGTTGGGAGGTCCACTGCTTTCATCTACGCATTTTTAAAATCATTATATATATATATATATATATATATATCTACTTTGTTACCCGGCTCAGTGATCTCAGTTTCTTTACTCTTATATGTTTGTAAAGTGTGCTTTTTTTGCTTTAAAAATGATTGAATTATGTTCTTCTTATCTTCCGGTTAAGGTTTCTATGCCTTTAGGAAATCTTCAAACAATATTTGTAGAATTATCAACAATTTAAATGCTGCTTAAGTGCGGTTAAGCCTAATTTTTAAATAACATGACGGACATGCTTGTTTACATTTGAAACAGCAGAATAGTAGATTTGTTGCCAATCTAGAGAGACTAAGCTTCGCAACAACAAAGATAACGCCTTCATTTGTTATTGCGAATTAAATTTTGCTTAATCCTTTCTAGAATTTTTTCGAGGAAGTAAGTGTTTAAGATTTACTTCATAATTTTTAATATAGATATTTTGAGTTTTTATGTATTTTTGCCTCGTCGCGAAGTGAGAACTGAATTAATTGAATGAGAAATACTGAATCGTATGTGAAAATCTGTTTCTTTTTTGTTTTGTTTGCTTAATTTTTTTTATACATCGTTCTAGATTTATTATAGTATTTGAATAGAACATGTGGAAACGATTAGATAATTATTCAAGTGATATAAATTTTGAGCCTTCTGAGTTATAATATGACATGAACGTCACTCCAAAGATACGTCATTGCTGAAGATTATTGAAGTTAACAGATAGCGTCGTACTTTTTTCTCTTATGAAATCCGCACCCAGTGCTTTAAGACTTTCCGCTTGGGCGGATTTTTTTCGCTCATCTTTGTGCCATTAGGAACTTAGACTGCTAAAGGCTTTTACACGCATGATGATTTGTGATCTGTGTTATAATATGAATGAAATATAACGCTGGTAAGTGAACCTAACGCCAGAGTGTTGCTATGGTAAACAAATATAGTGAATTTTAAAGAGTGCATTTACTCTATTGTGGTTTATGCCCTATCGACGAAGTAGATTTAATTCAATCCAGTAAGTTCAAATGAAATGCAAGAAAAAATGCGTATAATTTAATATTCCGTACAAGGAAGTGTTGTGGTGCACACAACAGATTTTTTTTTTGTCTTATCAAAGTATATTTTTTTACAGATTATTAGTAACCAACGTGTAAGCAAGAATTTGAAGAGCGTAAGTTGCAGTTATTTGGCTTTGCTGAAGTTTAAAATGTACACACTGAAATGCACTTAAATATTTAAGCACTATACAGAAATAAAAATATAGTTAGAGCAGTTTTATATAAATAAAAGTGGTGTTTTTAGTATATTGCTCATGCGCCTAAACGAAGTATAGTTTTACATCTAGGTATTATGAAGGATCTTTCACGAATATTAAGAGGAAAAGCTAATGAAGCATTTAAAACTTAGAGCTAACCATTGTAAGCAGCACACAATGCCAAGGAAAAGGTAATTAGGTGTACTAATCATCCCTTTTTTGGAGGAAAAAGGTGAACAATATTACTTTATAGAGCTGAAGCTATTTGCCCTTTTTTTGAGGAAAGGTGACTAACAATACGTTATATAATTATTACCGTCCCGAAATTATGAGATGGATCAGAGATTCCATCTTACTTATCAGATAGAATCTCTCATCATCTGATAACTCTAAGGAATTTAATATAAAATTGTACAAGCAAACAAAAAAATTCTCAGGCTGATTACACTTGGCGTAATTACAGCAGTTGATAAAATAACGTTTTCTGTATTCATAACTGCAAAGATATCTCTAAAAACAAATAAACGTATAATTTACAAAAACAATGAAAAACTGAAAGTTATTGTTAACGAGAACCATTGAGATAAAATGTAATTGAGCTGGAAGTGATTTAGCTAAAGTAGCTATGATCCTACCATTGATGTCAAAGATTAGAATCCACCACGTGTAAGATAAATACTCATTTATTTTTAGTCAAACTCAAGATATTACGAAATTACCAGAAAACTTAAATACTTGGTTCGTGCACAAGTACAGACAGATAAAAAGCAACAAGCTCACTTATGGAGGTAGAATTATTCATTTTACCTCCATGAATCTCATCGATAAACTTGAGTTGGAGTTGTTTGCCATTAAATTTATCAATATTGTTTACAGAGTCTAATAAAACACAAAGATAATAAAATAAATAGGCGAATAATCCAACATGAAGAAATATTTATCACTGCAAAAAGGTTTAACAGAACTGCGTAGGTAACACAGATCCTACCTAATCAAAGTTATTTAAAGCTCTCACAATACATATTGCACATAGATTAGTGTTTTGTACTTAAAATCCTATGTATGCGTTTGCCGGCAGGTATGATCTATGATGATAAATGTATTCAATTGTTTGTTCACAAGAAACTTTAATTTCCAGAAGACCACCTCTCTTTAAGACATTGCATAAACTACTCGACGCTTCTCTGCGCAACATTGAAACTAATAGCTGTAAAAAATGAAATGTAGTACATCGATATAATACATAAATGCTCTGTGATCTGGATGTTGCATCATAAAACATATCAATGAAATGTGGAATTCTTTATTTTTTGCTATTGCTTAAATTTGTTTCCATAGACATTGCGTGCTCTACATTCATAGTGTTTTTGAATAAAAGTTCCTGCTCAACAGTGTTCTTAACATTCATTATTCAGTGCTATCTTTTCACTTTCGGCTAAATGCCGTTTATATCTCATTATATAGATTATCTAGCAAAATGCTCGTGTGTAGAAATCTGTTTATCTGATGGTGCAGGGAAAATGGTAGTTTAGATTCATTTTCAAGAAATGAATAAGCTTAATATTTGTGTTTTCGCGAACATAACATGAATTCAGATATTCAGGTACATTAAATTCAAATAATCCCCCCCCAAAAAAAGTCATACATTTAGGAAGAATTAAAATGCTTGAGAATCTGGACAAGCATCATGTTGGACAGCAGCACAGACCTTTATCCCATTGTCAGAGGCTCTGTGACTGCTGCAAAGTATACGAAAGAGTATCTTAGAACTTTAAATGCTCTCCGTTTCAGGATTATAGTTGGCCCTGAGTTAATTTTTATGGACAACAAACACATCCACATAGGGCTAATCTCGTAGGGCTGATTTTCTGGATTAACCTGATAGATTAGCCAATCAAAGCTTCAGACCTAAATCTATAGAAAATGTTTGAAACGGACTTGGGCGGGCAACTGCAACCTTCTTCATTCAAGAGCCCGCCACTTGAAGACTGCGCTGCTGTAGGAGTGGGAACGTTTACCATAGGAACTCATAAACTGCCTTCATTCCAGTATGGAGTCACATTGCGAAAGCTGTGTAATTGTTAAATGTGATCACAAACACAATTATCCTTCTTTTTGTTTTTTGTAAGATCTTGGAACCTCTCTTTTACACATCTTTCTTCACCGATGAGCCTTATGCTCGATCATGAGTACGTACCCTGACGAGGCTATGGTATATATTGTTACGTTTTTCCTATACTTCTGATACCAGTTGTTGCGTTATTTTCTTCCTTCACGTTCGTACGGCGTTTGTAGATTTGGAGTGAATAACGACGACACTTGATGAAATATCAAAACACACTTTATTTAGCCAATATTAATTAGGACAGCTCCAATAAAACTTTTTACAGTCGTCGAAGATCTACTATAAACACGCTGAACAATCAGCGACACAGCCTTCAGGTTATCAGGCTATCACGGTGGAGACAGCTTTCTGCAAAGCACCCGACTCTGCTTTCCGGAGTACAGCTCCCGACTCTGCTTGGTCGTTCTCGGAACTCCACGTACTCTCGAGCCTCTCCACGCTACAACTCGCGATGCACTCGACTACACACGAGCACAGCCCCCGACTCCTTGGTTTAGTCGTTCCCGGAGCTCAACACGCTCTCTCGACGATGCACTAACCGCGATACACTATGAGGCTCCTTCGGTGAACTCGACGACCCACTCGGCACTCGCTTCTCGGCTGTCAACTCGATCGACTCCGCAGGGATTGACTCGCTAGACGAGACACCAACTCGATACTGACTCTCTCGCACTCTATGCGAGGCACACACACACTAATTGACTGCGGATCAGCAGGATCAGATATAGCTGTCGGCGAGAAGGTTCTCCATCCGTCCATGGTATATCGCCAATTTCGTCGCCAAATAGACGATTTCTCGCCAAATGAGGCAACCCTAAAACTGCTTTGCGGGGAAGCTATCTTACCGCGCCTAGACATTTCGTAACAATATTTTGTGTTATATCAACCTACGGTTGGGCAGAAGTTTTAAAAATGTGCGCCAGTTCTTAAGATAACCAACCAAATGTGAAAACTCTCTTAATTTTGAACATCAATGTAAAACATGGTAAACTTTTCACAGAAACATTATTCAGTTAATATTGGTATTGCGCTTTCTTTTATTTGTACGTCAGTTGTGAAAATGTGGAAGATGAGATGCCTTTAGAAAGAATATGTAGAAAAAAGTACCCAGTCGTGGAGATAAAAGGTGTTTGAAAGAGAGGAATTTCTGAAAATAAACTGTGTTCTTATCTAGGATCTTTGAATTACCGGATTGATGTACTAAACCTATATACTGTAAGATAATATGGGAGACATGCCTATTGTTTGAAATACGATATTTTGAATTGTAAAAATTTAATTTTTTGCTTACCTTTCACAGTGAGGAGCACTTTAACGCTGAGGGGAACTCCTAGGAGTGGCTTTTCTTCGGCGAGCTGTTGTTCTGTGTATACACCTGAAGCAATCAGAGCATCAGCCTCCCTCGCTTCTTGTAGAGCGTCGACAAATCTCCTTTCGACAGTAGCATTAATTATAGGATCCACTTCCACAATTCTGGCGATATAAGCCTTCATCACATCTTCGCTTTTTAGCTGAACAAAAAAATATTTCAGGAGTTACAACTCGCAGCTTTCATGTCACATACCCAAAAGATAAGTTCCTTTGGAAAGTAAACAGATAAGTAAATGATTAAAAAGATAATTTTTAATTAACTCCGTCAATAGTTGCTTTCCGGTCTTTTTCCATATAATGATCTATTCGTCATGACGGGTCATCTGCTCGTTATGAATGATCTGCTCGTGATCACACACTTGCACCATGGTGAACTGTGATTAATTTACAAAGAATAAACGGTACTGCTCATAATTCGATAGCTTGTTTCTTGTGTAATATCGAATCATAGAGGTTCTCAATGTGACCAGAGAAATTTGCAATGACCTGTACTTTTAGCAAATATTGAACTAACTGCCGTGTGTAACTGGTAGCCATTCGGGTTTCATGCATTTGACGATCAGCCAATTTTGCTTATAATTAATAGAAAACATTATTTAAACTGATTATAATTCATCACTTGTCATATTTTTATTCCGTTACAAATGTTTTATGCAAGCATCACATGTCAATGCAGCTAAAATAGCATATTGTTTCAGCATTACTAAATTGGTCTGTCAAGTGATATCTCACGAGTCTTCAAGTCTTCTGTTCTGCACTGGTATAATTTAGCAGAATGCTATTCAAAATGAGAGAAAACGGCGATAATCATATTATCAAAGTATATTTTTTGTTTTTTTCTTACGTTTTGGGTTAAAAATGTGCTGACTTTCTTAGTTAAAAGTAAAATGTATGTTAAATACACCTGTTTGAGTACATGCACCCAGTATTTTTCGAGAAATTTCTCTTTTTAAAAAATTGTCTGAAAAAATTTTAGATATAAATATATGTAAGATATAACAAAATGCGATAGCTATGTCTCCAAATAATTGGCCACCTCAAAATTGACTTTTCTAAATTTGGTGTCCTTCCCCAATTCATCTGTTCCTCCAAAGTCGAGATCTTTTCATGTTACATAACGCTGCTTGAAAAATGGAGCTAATACCTAAAGTTAACCAATCACAGCTTAGCTTTACTTATGCACCTATGTAGTATAAATACTGTTTCGCGAGCAATTACTCCTTCCTATAATTTCGAGAAGTTGCCGATCTGGCTGTTGGAGCTAGAAAAAACAAGGAGGGCCAAGCGATTCACAATCTAAACAATATGTTCAGTGTGAATGTTGTGATTGAGAAGTTCAATCCTCGCAAGCGACCGATACAGTGTTACAGGTGGGAGGAGTGGGGACACTTCCAGCACTTGTGCACGAATTTGGAAAGATGTTGTAAGTGTGGTCAAGCTCATAGAAGCAATGAATGCTCTCTAAAAAAGGATGAAAAACTCCCCTGTCTGTTCTGCAAAGAAGGCCATGTAAGCAGGTACTGTGGTTGTGTAAAGTATCGAAAGAAGTTCGAGAAGAAGCCGGACATGAAAAGCCCCAAGTATTTACTAGGAGAAAAGAAGACTTCCCGGAACTAGTAAGCACAGAAAAGAAGGAAGCACCAAATAGGCAAATTTAGTACAGTGGTAAAGTAAAGCAGAAAAGTTTAGACATTCCGAAAGAAGCTAGCGAAGCCTTAAAGTGGCTTGAAGACGAAAAAATTAGAAATTTCCTGGGCATATTTCCTTTTTTCGAGCATATTGACAAAATCAGAAACCCCAAAACCACTGCGGAGAAGCTATCTGTCGATTTTAAAGCAGCCATGTGCATCATGAAATTTGCAGAAACGAAGGATTAATTGAGTTCCCTCTTCAATAGTGGTACTCAAGAATTAAATTCATTTTTTAAAAAAAATTCTCTATTTTTTCACAGTTCTACTGTTTCAAGCTGCATCTTGCGGGGTCAGTTCGAGGGAGGGTGGCTTCCCACTTGACTGGCCTCGGCAATTCAACGCTGACTGGTTTTAGTGAAGACTTATGCAGATGCTGAGAGGACGTTTCACGCTCGACTGCATGGATTAGCTACCTACGACCTTTTTTCTCGCCTGCGGGCCGGTGGTGCTCATACACCCGTTTATTTCCGTTATATGCCAAAGGCGCACCTGATCTAATGGATAAAACTCTTTGTAGTTAGTGCTATTACTTAAGGGATGATTCTGACTCTTTACTCCTTCCTTTTCAAAACTTCTACCCTGCTAACATCTCTATGCTGCTGTGCTTTCCTGTCTAATACGCTTGTATCGTACTTTTAAAACCAGTGTATGTAAAAATTATCGTATTTAACTATGATTGAATAAATATCTTGTCTACAAAAATGATCTGATGTGAATTGTCAGGGATTAAAAGTGTTTCAAAACGGAAATGTCTGAAAGTTGTTGGTTTATGCATCCATCCACCTAACTACGCAGACTTCAAGCTGCGGCGCATCAAAATATTTATCCTCAGCCATGACGACTACAAGCTGCTAAAAGTACCAGTTTCGTCTACGCTCTTAAAATATCATATATATATATATATATAAACTAAACTTTTAGTTAATTTAATTCACTATATTTCATAGAATATTTGTAAAAAGTTTCGTAAAATTACCATAGTAATATTTTCAGTTTTTTTGGTAACAGAAAAGTTGAAAGAATCAATTTTTTCAGCGTTTAAAGTAATGCAAGCACAAACAGAAGGGAACAAAAAAAAAAAAAAAATGTTGCCAAGCATGAAAATTAAATTGCAAAGCTAATCTCGTTCCCATACACGTAATAACAAACGGGAAGGTTCAAAATCATCTTCTGATTGTCAACGAAGATATTCAAATGAAAAATTACCTTTTAAAGTTATTTAGAGGGACCTTTGTACCTTTAGATCTTAATTTCAGAGTTCTTAAACAGAAATCTGTTTAAGTTCTATGCCGTGAAACTTTAAATTTACGGCACAGAACAAGAACAGCTATAATTCTGCTTCTAACAACCGGAAGGAGAAAACGAAAGTAGCTTCGGAAAGCTTAATATGTAAGCATTAAAACAAAGTAATAAAATTCTTTTGAAACATTTCATGGAAATTGACGACTGGAACGTAGTCGGATACCTTAAATTAACTCTCCTGAGCATGTAATGAGGTCTCTCTAATTAAGATAAGAGACTTGAGTAATAAAACTTCTTCAGTCGAAAAACCGGTAATAAATGAATGAATCAAAATATGAAGAAAACGGAGAAGAAATATTCACTGTATTGTAACTATTTCCTAGCTTAGACTTGAAATTAAGGGAGGAAGTAACATGCTCCCTTATGTTCTTATTTTTACTTCCTTGTACGAAGTAAAGGAAGTAGTGCAATCGCGAAAATTTTCGGGTATCATATTTCAATGAAAATATGCATTTTGATCGCTATCGAATGCATTTCATCGAATGCATTTCAACAAAGTTTCTGCGTGTCATCTGTACTTCGAGACAGAATAAAGGACTGGTTTGCATGGCCAGCGCAGCGCTGATGACGTAATAATTGGGAACTGAAACTTTTAACTCAAATCAAAACCTTTCTCCTTGTGTGTTTCCATCTTGCGTAACTACGAACTTCAGCTTCGCTCTCTACCCTGCTAGGATATAATTTCGCTGTCTTGCTTGCTATCGCAATAATATCAAAAATGTAAATGTTCAATGAATATACACGATTAGAGTGCCAAAAGATTATGGCCACAAAAGTCAGTTGCAAATAAAAATAAAATTAAAATTGCGTCGACTGCCAAGTTTCTTAGATATTACGAGCTCATTACATTTTCATACTAAGCAATCAGAATTCTTCAATATGGATCTAAGTACGCATCAACAGTGCTCCGTCTTTTCCCTTGCTCTAATTTCATATATATACCCCCTCTGTCTCTCAGCTCAGTTTTTTATTCATGTATGATGGTAATCTGCGCATTTGTTTGCTTTCAAAATGATTTAATTATGTTGTTCTTATCTTCCGGTTAAGGTTTTTATATCTTTAGTTAACCTGCAAGCAATAGGTGTAGAATAATCAACAATTTAAAAGTTGTTTAAGTACGGCTAAGCCTATTTTTTCTTACCATAGCAACCATATTTGTTTACATTTGAAACTTAGCAGAATAATGAAGGAAATAAGTTTCTGCACCTTCAGTGTCTTTTTGCCGAATGGGACCAAAGGTAAACTTTGAGTTTTGTGCGCCGGAAAAAAAATCTGCTTTCTTATTCGCTTGTCGAATTGCTTATTTTTGCGTAGAAACTGTAATTTTAATTGTAAAAACTTTTTTTAACTGTATTTGGTGTGTTGCATTTTTCTATGTTTTAAAATTTTTAATAAATATATTTTGAGGGTTTATGAACTTTTGTTTTGTTGCGAACTGAGAACACCGCATGACTTCCTTGTACGGAATGTTAAATTCTATGCAAAAATGCATAGAATTTAACATTCCTTACAAGGAAGTCATGCGGTGTACACATCAGAATTTTTTTATATAAAGTATAAGCTAGTAAGAATTATTAATATTATAAATTTTATTTATAACATTCATAATTATGAATGCTATAAATTTCATTTAATTTTCAGAAACTTATGATTTAAGAAATTTAATTTAAAGAGAGCTGATTTGCTTTACTTGCGTTATAAGATTAGCCTTACAATCATAAAAATAATGATCAGTCGGACATTCCATTAAGAATCTTCTACTTTACTTTAATCACATTTTTAGAGAAGACTATAGATATCACTGTTTTTGTAATTATTTCTTGTCAATCATTTTTAAAAGATAATTTTTGAAGGATCATTAAAAATGAAACATGAAAGAAAAGAAAAACATTTGGTAATTCATAAACCGATAAAGTAACTTGGGAAGTGTGCATATGTTAATCAGGAACTCACGGCTTTAAATGGTTGTTCACAAATCTCGAATATTTATTAAATGTGAATTAATCTCATTTTCAGCATTCACCTAAATACTCTTAAAATTCGTCTTTCAATTTTAAAATGTTCTTAATTTCGAAAATCCCCCCCTCCATATATATATATATACTGGAATAAACATATATACATTCATAAAACAATTTGTTTAATAC